ACAGAGGTCCCAATAACAGTTAATTGGATGAAAACATTGACTATTTTGTTTCCTGTATAGTTGTTAATTCTTTCCAAGACCATAACTAGTCTAAATTAAGAAAAGATGGGGGGGGCAGTTTTTCCAGGTAGTAGAAACATTTTCTAAGAATAAATAAATCAAAAATATATTGGCATAAGTTTTATTGGTTTTTCTTTTTTATTTAATTAAAAAATATTGTTTTTACGTATGTGTCCATTAAAGGACTGGAGAAGAATATTGTATATATATTTTAATTTCTTTGTCATAATCAAATGTAGTGTTATATAACCTGGTATGCGCTATGTGAATAAAATAATTTCTAAACTGTGACATTGTTCCTTAGTTTAATTATAATAGGTCTGATGAATTGTATGCATTTAGTGAAGGAAAAGTTTGTCATGATGATAGCATAAGGTGAATAGAAATCTTCACCATAACTCTTTAAGCACAAAAGTATGTTCCTATAAGGTTTTAATCTTTATTACCTTACATCTAATAAATAAGTCAGCCAATATGATTACTCTAATTCTAAGAAATATCTGGGTACATAAGGTTCAGCCTAACATTTAATTCTTGCATATAAAGTTTGTATTATCAAAAAACAAATTCCTTTTGGTTTAAATTTCGTTTGCAGATTGATGGAACTGTAGACATTCCTTTGACTTTACAAAGAGATTTAAAGTTGCGGAAAGACTTGTTTAGAAGAGAGATAGAATTCTTTGCTCTTGTGGAAGATGGGCTAACCAGCAGGAAATACAACACCACTAACACTTTATGGATTTATGATAATGAAGTTAAAGTTCAATTAATCAAAACATCTGAAACCTTTAAGCCTGGTCTGAAATACACATGTTTTGTAAGTTGTGCTATACACATGTATTTATCATTAGATGCAGACATATAGAAATAAGCATTCTAAAATTGGAACATTTCTGTCTTTCTCTAAACATTGAATATGGTAAATATTGAACATTCAATAATTAGAATATTTGTGAGATTGAAAATAACCGAAAATGTTTTGTATACTTGGATATTGCATAATTATGTATAGGTTATATTCAGATTGTAATTTCATTAATGTTTATATTTGTTTCTTTGAATGCATAATATTAAAGATAAAACCACTTAAATAACAACGGTAGATCCACCAGTACCATAGAAAAGTTTTTTTGGCTACAAGATTATTGGCACAGTAAGATTTATTTTATTAAGTAATTAAAAACCAAAATTGTATTTGAACCTCTCATTATGCTGTGTTTAAACTAATGAAAAATGATTTAATAAATTAGAATGTCCGAAAGAAAAAGGTATTCAGTTAATAAAGTAACGAGTCAGAAATTCTGAATCAGTTGTTAATCCTTATGGTTTGTCATAATGAAATGGTTGGATAATATAAGCACAGATATGTTTATGCTATTTCAAAATCTAAAACTAAATTAAGTGTATTCTTCATTGCATCTGGAATTATTTTCAAATATTGAGTGTTAGATATCAGTATTAGATATTTTCAATAGTCCTTCCAGGAGAGTAGGTTATTCCTCATGAGTCTTTTGTTCTTGCAGCTAAAAGTTGCCTACCAAGATGATACTCCAGTGGATGACAGAGAAAATCAGCTGAAGCTGAGATATGGATACTCTTATAACGAAAGTGCCTGGAAAACGTCATTGTACTGGGTACCCAAGAATGGTCTAGTTAAACTTGAATTTTATCCTCCTAATGAGGATGATATCTATGTTTTAGGGATGCAGGCTGAATTTCGAGGACAGATTCACTACATTGATGGTGTTGAAGCAGCACGCTCTCCCAGTAGAAACTTCATACAAGTTACTATGCAAACACCTGTTCCAGTAGTTGCCCAGAATGTTGAGTTTGAAGTGAATGCAACAGAACCTTTCTCTCAGCTAGTTTATCAGGTATTATTTTTGTGCATTAAGTAAGTTACACATTTACTTTATAAGTTTTTCATGTTTTCTATATATTTTGGTATATTATCTCTAGCTACCTAATGTTTTACATGTTTTCTCAAGCTAATTATCGTTTTTGTGTTTTCTGCATCTATTTTTTGCATATTATTCACAGATAACTTTCTTTTAGAGTGTTTTTTTTGTATCTATGATTCAATTTGTGTTTTCTATATGATTTGGTATATTTTCTACAGGGTTATATTTTTATTCAAAAATAACAAATACTAGTTTTATGATATTTTCAGTTTCATTTTGTTAATAATACTATGGGCTTTTAAAATAATACCAAATTACTAAAGAAAACTGTCACAAACACCTACATCTATGTACAAATATTAATGCTGTTTAAAATTAATTGGGTACACTTGTTCTTGCTCAGTTTTTATGAGTGAAAAATCA